CACCATCCAGCCAGTGCGGAAGAAGCTTCTTAGATGAAAGCGAAACGTCTTCAAAGAAAAACCAGAAAGTCCAGTTGTCTCTTGAAAAAGCACCTGTGGACAACCATGACCTGGATGACTGACAATCTCCATAGACATTATTAGGAGTGATTTGAGTTTATAAATAGACATTCACTGAACTGCTAGCAGCATTTTAATGTTCAAAAATGATCTGAAATGCCATTGTTTATTATTATATTTATATTCCAACCTTATTTTGTATAACTTACAGACCCTTTTTATTATTTATTTTTTATTTTGTATAATTTACAGACGTCTTAGAAATGGGGTGAGGTCAACAGTAGACAGTTTAAGGTTAAAGTTTTGGGGGTTTGGGGAAGAAACCTGACTCTGTGGTTTCATCCCAAAACCCCCAAAATTTTAATCTAAGACTGTCTACTGTTAACCTCACCCCATTCCTAAGAGGTCTGTAAAGGGCATGTATAAGAGCACCACCGTGCCTACCGTCGCTGTCCTAATATTCCTTTTTACTCTTACTCTTTTCATGTATTCAAATTACCTGTATATATGCTTATATATATACTTATATATGCTTGACAAATTAAATAAATAAATAAAATAAATAAACTGAAGGCAGCAAACACAATGCTCCTACCCCCTATTTTCTCCACAACAACATTCCTGTGGGATAAGTTGGGCTGATACAGAGGGAAGACTACAATTCATGATCTCCGGGGTTATATCCTGGACCTTAACACTGCACCAAACTGGCTAAAAAACTACAGCCACCCAACATGGAACTTGAACCCACAACCTTGCAGTTGAGTGCCATGCTCTATGGAATGAGCTAACAGGGCTTTCTGAGATCAGATTATTTATTCCTAATTGATATTGTCATTACTATACATGGCATACTGTCATGGGAGATCAAATGATAGAAATGTAAACTGCCTTGAGTCACAAGAGATAAATAGTATAAACATGTAATTTATGAATTAAAAAACTTCAAAACTGATTCCATCAGACCTACAGGAAAAGAAATAAATGCCATCAAGTACCTATTAGTAATTTAATTCAGAAAAATAAATGACCTGCTTTAGATCAGTGCATTTGAATTGTCATAGGTACAAAAAATTTAACATCTGCCAATGTTTCAATATGCGATATTTAAACTGGGTCTGAAGTGATAGTGACTCCAGCCCCAGTTTAAAATGAAAAAGTGTTGGTTTGTTTTTTTTAAAGGAATAGCTTTACATTAAGGTAAGAGGCATTCTTAGCTCTTTTGAAAAAAGGAAGTAAAACTAAAAAAGTGTTTCCTGCCAGTGTGCATTGTTAATGTATTTGAATGATAATTGTATTGGTATAAATTTAGATGGCCCTGGGTAAGTAAGGCAGAGAAAGGCTATATACCAATTTTTCTATTAAGATTTACATTAGTGTATGAGTGTATGTTGAGAAACGTGTCAACCATTTCTTCAGATTGAAGAAGCTGCTTGGATAAATAACAAAATGTTTCAAATTTACAAGAAAAGTTCAGTTGTCATGTGTCCATAATAGTTAGATACAAAAATGGCCTAATTAATTTATGAAAAATACTGATGTACTGCAATGCTCTTAACCTCACTGTCTACTAAACAAATAATGAGAAATACATTTATCTGGTTTGCCTTTGTCTAGTTCCACATTTTTCTTTCCAGGATTTTGTTTCCCATTAGAACTTCCTTTGCAAACTACAAGTTTGGATAGTTTTTCTGTTGTTGATTGGCATATTCTTCAGGGTTTTTTTAACCTTCTGAGTTGTTTTCTTTTAGTATGTTTAAGTGTTTTCCGAGAGGGCTCAACGTATAACACTGAACATCTTTGTTCTACACTAGCCTTTTATAGTTTAACTCTTCTGGCAATGCCATGAATTTCTTTATTCTTACTAAGTATTCTGTGGAAAGTGATAGAAACAGGCAAAGGGATTTAACAGGCTTCAAGATTATTACCAAGACGTGACAAATTTATAATGTGATGTTCCAATGAAACCTTTGAAACAAAAACATTCTGCCTCTTTTTTTAAAATAAAAATGTAGGTTCATCCTGTAATTTGAAGAACTCGGAGATAGCATCCCATAGGAAATTGCTAATGGTTTTCCATGTTCTCTGGTCGGTTACACAACTACAACGTTGCTTAAACATTTGGCTCATAAATAAAAGTACTAGTGCATTCCAGCAATTTCCAAAGGCTGTCCAGGCCAAGCTGTGTTTGGATTTGCACTTTCTGATGACAGGTTTTCTAATGACTCTTCTTCCTGCATGGATATAATTAAAGAGAGAATAAGAGAGCACAGAGTCTACTTTTACCAAATCAAAATATTTCCCTGGGTAAAACAGACCCACGATTGGATTCTTACTATTGTGTTCTTTGGATCAGAGCAGAGCAGCTGCTCAAAGCTAACTCTTTATAATGTCAAAAGAAAAAAAAAAAACGATCAAATGAGAAAATGTCAAACAAGGATTCATTTTTGAGAACTTGATCAGAGGACTGCATTCTGGTTTTCATTTCCTTGGGAGCTTTTTTTTTGTGAGTTATTTATTAAATATGTTTTCTTTGTATCCCTAGGAGGTGGTGAGAAAATGAACCTTTGACCTAATCTAAAACTATGTAAATGAACATCTTTGGACTTTCTCCTCCTATTCCGCATCCCATCATGGCCTTCTTTTGTAAAATAAAGGCAACGCACAAGCAAAATCATTGCATAGTGTTGTATGAGGAACATTAAATAGTTCACATCAATCTTTTTTCTCCTGTAATCCTAGAGAACAGTTATCTTCAATATGGGCAGATTTCAGTGTTACAAAATGAATTCAAAGTGGCCATGTGATGTTCCCCAATGTATGCGGGGAATTTCAATAGTAGTAATGATCTACATTTCCATAGTTTTCTCTGAGCATGGTTGTTTGCAAGCTACCATGTGTGAGTTACAGTGGTGGGTTTCAATTGTTTTTACTACCGGTTCTGTGGGAGTGGCTTGGTGGGCGTAACTTGGTGGGTGTGGCATGGGAAGGATACTATAATATCACCATTCCCTCCCCAATCCAGGGAAAGGATACTGTAAAATCTCCGTTCCCTCTCCAATCCAGGGCCAGGGGAAAATCCCCATTTCCTCCTGATCAGCTGGGACTCAGGAGGCAAAGAATAGATGGGGGCAGGGCCAGTCAGAATTTTTACTACCGGTTCTCCGAACTACTCAAAATTTCCGCTACCAGTTCTCCAGAACTGGTCAGAACCTGCTGAAACCCACTTCTGGTGAGTTGGGCAGCTATATAAATTTATTTATTAAATAAATAGATATCATTAACCAACTAGGATGTTGCCCTGTTGGGTCAAGAAACATCTGCAAGTAAGCAACCAGACAAACTCAAAAGGCATCAAGAGCTTCACAGTTTAACTGTGAACTGTATATGTTCTCTGTTATTTATTGTCTTTTTCTGCATTTGTTGTGAAATATATTGAGATTATCAACAATTGTTTATTACATATAATTTCAGCTTATTTATACTCAATCATCTGAAAATTGCTAAACAAGCCACAGGCTGATATGCCATTATCAAAATTCCATTTCCTTCTAGAAAATAATCTCACATGTTGTATGTATGTACTTTTTTAAAAAATCCCACAATTTGCAACATTTTGTGAGGGGTCTGATCCCAGCATAGGGCAAGCTAACAAAATTTAAAATTCTGAACAAGGTGGTCTTGACAAAATTTTCTTACACTCAAATAACTGAAAATGTATTTGGAATGGAGGGAAATATATATATATATATATATATATATATATATATATATATATATATATATATATATATATATTGATAGTAATAGTAATATCTAATACAAATTAAACTTAAAACAGAGAATAGAAAGGATAAAAAGTGCAAGGAAAAAGAAAGAAAAAAGTAAAATTAAAAATATAATAAAGAAATATATATATAAAGCGACTATATATTATATATATATATATATATTTATATATATATTTATATTTATATATTTATATATATATAAAGCGACTCGCAATCTTTATGACAAGCATAAACTCTTTGCAATAGGACAAATGGTTTTCCTACTGTAAAGACCCATTAGCTGTTAAAGCTATTAAGTCTTGAAAAATCTCACTTTTCTATATTTAAATTTATAACAGTATTGGCGATTGTAGATTGTTTTTTAATTTAGTACGTGGAGATACAGTAATTCTTCAGCAAATGGACTGTGATCCTGTGACTTACACTTTAAAACAATATGGAAGTTAGCATGTGGTTCCTACAAAGAAGAGATACATTTAAAATAAAATCCTCTCCCATTACTATGACTGTAAGTCACGAATGGATCACAGTGTTTTCTATTAGTTGAGTGATACCATTAGATAATCACATACAGTAATTAGTTATGGAAATTCATTTCTGTTTGAATATAAAAGAAAATTCTCTGGCTATTTGCTATTAACATAATAAATATTGTTATGGTCATAACAAATGAAATACCAAGACATATGAAACATCAAGACTGCAAGATAGTATGGCTTTAGATATCAGTAATGAGAGGTGCAGTGGAAGAATGCAGTCCTATTTTAGGTTGCTGGAAACAACTGACTATTGTGGGAAACCGGTTGTAGGCTAACTGGAGCTTGAGAATGATCCAGCAGGAGATACGGGGTTTGTTATTGTCCTTGGAACTGGTCCATTCTGAAATGATTCTACTTCTTATCTCTGCTTGGGCTTTAACATGCTCTCTCCATAGATATGAGGCCAAAAGTGTTATACGAGAGTCTTTGCGTTGGAACTTGATGTGCCTCATGATGTGCTGTGGTAAGCTATTGAGTTACCTGGCCTTTTTATTAGGTAGTTTTTAGGTAGGGACAAGAAGGGGAATACTTTTCCTTGAAAACTGTTAGGAGATGTTAGTGTGAAGTTTCCGAAAGATGCCCTAATTAATTCATGAGCCATGAGCCGAACTTCAAAAGAAATACAGTCATTTATTAGAAGCACTATTTCGGCAATATTCGGATGCAGTTAGAACTAATCCCACGTAGATTTACGTTCCCCTATGATCCTGTCTCTCCCCTCCTCTCTGGCCATGTCATAAATCACATTCTCCAATTAAACACTTTGGCTGGCTGTGAAATCCAACACCCTCCTTCTGATTTCGGTCGGGAAGAATGTATGGAATGCACTTCAGTTAGGGAAATCAATCTATCAGTTCTCCCTCCCTCCTGCTCATGGCAACTTGAAAGCTTTGCAAGTGGACATTCGGCTCCCCTCACTTCCCGAGGGCGACCTGCGCAAAGTAACTTATGCTACTGATTTTAATCATTTGTAGCCATAGTGTTATGCTAGTACAAAGATTGTAGAGCTGAATTTAGAACATGTATCAAGGCTAGCCCAAAGATTTAGAAAAACCAAGAGTCTCTTCTTCTTTCAATAGGGCTGATAACTTTTGCTCATACTTCCCACAGCTTTCTTTATTGATTGGATGTGATCTGTAAAAAAGATGAAAAAGATTGTTCATTCTTTAAAAATGCCAAAGCAGTTTGGTCCCAACAATAGCAGCACTTTAATAAAGGCATTGAGAGGGATGGTCTTAGCTTCTTTGCAGTAATACTATCGCTACTTCCATAGATGACAATTGCACACATTTGAACCTCTCTCTGTACAGCTTTATTACTGGCAGCAACAAGTTGCAGAATTTTCTAGCAGGAAGTGATTTTTCTCAGTGCCATGGTACCAGTTAACTTCCCTAGAGCAACGTCTAAATGTATCAAGCAGTACATTTTGAGAGTTTAAAATGGCAGCAACTTGCCATTTAAACTTCAAGCAGATATTCTGCTCTGAAATACTCTGAAACTCAGGTAGGGTGCCATTGGAAAGATGTGCTTGTTTTAATGCCTTTGAAATCTCTGAGTCGGGTTCTTACCAAGTCTTGAGCTAGTACTAGCTCTCACAAACTGAGGATTTTGACTAAATGTAGATTATTCTCTCCAATTTATCCTCATTATCCTCGTCTTATATTGATTGATTGCAGAAATCCTGTCTTCCTAATGGACAAAATTCAAAGATAGGAATGATCTGCATATAATTCTTCAATCTTTTCTGCCCAACGTATATTGATGCTTTAAACTAAGCTGTCTTGAGTGAGATGTTTGTGTCAGGCAAAAGATGTCAGCTGAGAAAGAACTGTAGCACTGAAGTGTAAAATTAAACAATTTTGCTTTGTAATAAATCTTCAGATATTGAATATGAGCTGTTCTGTGGGTTCTGCTTATTTGCTGGATGGAAGAATTTACAGAGAGCTCCAGTGACTGTATGTTTTTGTTGTTGTTGTTTTGCCAATTCTGAAAGCTAGAAGTGCAAACTACAGTAAAAAAATGGCAATAACAATTATTTCCACCGTGTCTTCCCTGGAATAGCTGCTACTTTTGCTGACTAAAGACTGTGTAGATTACGTTGGCTCTTTGCTAACTTGTTTATTCCATGATGTCAACTGTGTCCACTCTGGCTCAACTTTCCTTTCTACTGAAATGCCAACTTAACTCTGAACCACTAGTGCACTAAATACTGTAAATATAATAGTAGCTGAAAGTAAGAGAGCTTGGTGGGAATTTATTTATTTATCAATCAATCAAATTTCAGTACCAGCCATGTCACCTAAATGACTCTTTCTCTCCATACCTCTGTGTTTTCTGGTCACCTATTTCATTTGAAACTAGTATCTTCTAGAAATCTTCAAGACTTTGGCCTGCAGCAGAATCAGTGGTGGGTTTCAAATTTTTTTACTACTGATTCTGTGGGTGTGGCTTGGTGGACGTGGCAGGGGAAGGATACTGTAAAATCTCCATTCCCTCCCCACTCCAGGGGAAGGTTACTGCAAAATCCCCATTTCCTCCCGATCAGCTGGGACTTGGGAGGCAGAGAATAGATGAGGGCGGGGCCAGGCAGAATTTTTACTACCGGTTCTCTGAACTATTCAAAATTTCCACTACTGGTTCTCCAGAACTGGACAGAACCTGCTGAAACCCGCCTCTGAGCAGAATGTCTTAATTTCAGCCTTTTCACCTTCTTGTTTTCATTCCTTTCTGGAATTCAACTTTGATTCTGTTCACCTCTGTATGCCTTCATGCCACTCATATTTAATTTATAAATATTTTTTTCACATTCACATATACATACACACATTTGGGATTAGACTATAAAAAGAAAGTGTTATTTTATTGGACCTTTGATAATTTCCATGTGATAAACATGAGAGAAAGAATCCTTCTTTAGTCTATTTCAGCCATTCTCCACCACACACTTCATACTGCAGAGCCAACTGATATATAAATAAGAAGTGACAGTGTGTCCAAACTACAAACAAACCATCAACCATTATCTTGCTATTATTTCTTCTATACTGCCCTTCTCTCCCTCCTGCTTTTCGCTTTTTTTTCATCATCCCTGGAGACCTGATCCATAACACCAAATCAGAAATCCAGGATTTTAGTGTTGCTGTACCAAGAGATTCTCAGCTTTTGTGGAATTAGCTGAAACTATATTGAAATTATAGTTTATGCTTCTTATTCTGTGTCTCCTTGCTTTAAAGGGGGAAATGAGTTAGAATCCCACTGTATACTTAAAAGAGACAATGTGTATTTAATTTTCTTACCTTTGTTTCTCATGTTCCAAATGAAAATAGCTGTCAGGAACAGTCTAACTGCTATCAGATTAGCAGCTACTACTGCTGCCTAATTTCCATAATGAGAGTTAGTACTGAGTGGCACTGCCTGGAGCTCTTAGAAACCTTAGATATGCCCCCTATAATTGAACAGACAGATATATTGCAGTAAGTAGATCTGGATATTTCTTTTGCTCTACTAATCTGATTTTTTTTTTTTTTGTTTTCTGCATTCATATTAAAATCTCAGAGGAGTTTAAACAGTGTCTGTCCTCGCAACAACAAGTTTTGGCATCGATAAAATGATTAATCGAAAATTAGACAGTTCCAGGTCAAGTGGGGAACTGAACCATGATCTCCAGGCGCAGTCCAGAACTGAAAATACTATATTACATTTTGTGTGAAACATGTAACAACATTTTTCATAATGTCCCCACCTCCATAAAGTTTATCTTATACACATACACACACTCAAGAGCTGTTTGAAAGAGGTTGGCTTATTATTATTATTATTATTGTAGAAAAAAATGTAAAATCACAGCTGCCAGTTCTTTAATGGGTGTTGGCCTTCTTATATAGTACATCGAGTTCTTCCTAAGACCCTAGGATGTTGTAATGTATATATGTGGTATATGTGTGGATCAAAGCAGTATGGATTTTTGCAATTGATAAATGGAAATTTTGTCAACATGCAGATTTTCTAATGTTGTCTAAGATTTTTGGTATATGCTATCCAATTTATGCCATAATGATTCATTTTTTAGTTTTTCAGATCTTCATACTTTGTGATTTTTTCCAATTTCTTGTATTATCTATTTTCTCCTGGAATTGTCACATCAATTATCTATATATTTTTCTTTTCAACCACAGTTAAATCTGGTCTGTTATGAGCCAAGACTTTTATCAGTTTGTATTTGGAAACCCACAATATTTTAACCTGCTCATTTTCATCTACTTTTTCAACTCTCTGTTCCCATCAATTTTTCATTACTGGCACATGATAATTTTTACAAATGTTCCAGTGAATCATATAATAACAAAACCTAGTTGATAATGAAACATCCTAAAAAAGGGGCAGCACCAGACAACTAAAGGCCAATTACCTTCCCGCTAATAACTTTCAAATTTGTAACTGGTATGGTAGCTGATGTAGTCCTACATCATTTAGTTGAAAACAAGGTCTTTTCACCTGAGCAAAAAGGAAACTGCTCAAACAGCAGAGGAGACTCACTACTACAGTTTCTCATTGCACTGTTTCCTCTGTCAACAGTACTGAACAAGTCAGGACATAGCTCTCAAACATCAAAAACATCTGCCAAGTTGTAGTATCCCATCTCCTTTGCATCCGAAATAGAATTACTACTCAACGCTGTCCGTATAGCCAAAATATTGCAATGGCGTTTGGACTGGACAAATGTGCCAAGGGTCTGGATGAAGAAAATAACTACAAATACCTGGGCATCCATCAACTGACAATATCAAGCATACTAAAGTCAAGAAGAAGGTTAGAAGTGAATATGCATGAGAGTGAAGAAGATCTTAAAATCCCAACTCAGTGGAGGAAATACCATCAAGACAATGAACACCTGGGCAATTCCAGTCATTAGATACACAGCTAGAATAGTGAACTTGACCTAAAGAGAATGAAAAGCTCAGGATAGAAAGACCAGAAAAATAATGACATTGAAGCAGGACCTTCATCCGCACAGCAGTGTTGACACAAGGAAAATAAGTGGGTGTGGAATGCTGCAAGTACACTGGACAGTTGAAGAAGAAATGGCTTTGGAAGAATATCTGAAGGTCAGTGAAGAAGATCCACTGAAGATCTTTTTATATACATCATAAATGCTTATTGAGTAGTGGAGAGACAAACTGCTCTACAAGAAAACTGAATGAAGAATAGAAAAGAGAAATGATAAGACAAAGTATTAATTGGTCAGTACATTAAAAATAGCAGGACAAGCAAATAGCAAGAATATGTGGCAATGTCTAAGAGGAAAATGGAGAAAGAGACAGAGGTCTAATTCTGGCTGCACAAAACCAAGCCTTATGAAAAAATGCACACCAAGTCAGAATTGAGAAGACAGAAGAGATAGAGAATTCAAAGATAGAAGAGACTACCTAGTTAGCTGCTCAAGATGTTCACACAGACACCTTGACTATAAAGAACATGACAAAGTAGCAACAACAGTGCATTTAAAAATCTGCTAGAGAGAAGTTCCCCGAGGATGGGCTCCAGCACAAGTCCGAAAGCTCAGAAGACTAAACCTCTGGTCCCAGTGACTGCCCCAGATTGGATCCTGCAACATTACCTTGAGACACTTATATTGGTTTTCATTCATGATTTAATAATCTGCAACCAATACCACTTACTTGCAACCAAGAACTGGTGGGACCACAACACATAGACAACTTAATAGAAAATGAAGAAGCTAAAGTGCTCTGGGATTTTAGGATTTAAATGGACAAGCAACTGCCACATAAACACTTCAGATTTTGCAAAGGTTGATAAGCAAAATCAGAAATTTGAATAGTGGAGATGGTAGTACCTGACAGCAGAACAGAAGAAAAAGAAGTGGAGAAAATCACAAAAAGCAAACATCTGCAAATAGTAGAACTATCATGGCAAAAGAAAACAAAGATAGTATCTTTAGTAATAAGCACCTTGAGTACTATCCCAAAACATCTGTAGTACCACTTGAACACTATTGGCATTGACAAAATCACCATCAGTCAGTTGCAGAAGGAAGCTTTACTTATATACTGCAATGATACCTTTAACACTGTCAAATAATATCTGCCTGTTCCTTGTGAAGGGTTCAACTAGTGGATAAAAAGGCCAAATCCAGTCTAAACATCTGGCTAACTGTAGCAAACCATAATAATAATTACAATATTTAAAAGGGGAATGGGTAATTTAAGCCTTACAAACAGGCTTGTCCCCTTTAGGAAAGATTTTCTTGCCGTGACATCAGGTATAGTTTAGTTTACAAGCTGATAGAATCCATAAAATCCCTGGGCTACACATGCCTCCTGGAGAATTCTTACATATCATAGAATGTGTATGGAAATTGTAGAGTAATTCACACTTATAACATTCATCCTGCCACTATTACATACTGTGTTTATTTCAAGATGAATTCATTGGGTACGGCCTAAGATCAAGGGAAAAAGAGAGAGAAAATAGACCATAAAAGAGTGCTAATCTGAGGGAAAAAGCTTTGCTATCTTAATTTTGTCAAACTTGCAACAAATCTGTGATTTAGGGTTTTGTTGATTGAATTGTTTTTTTAAAAATAATTTTTACTGAAGTCAAACTGGATAGGAGTTTCTGAAAGTTTTTAACGGTCCACACATTCTTCATCAAACAATATAATTAAAATTTAAAAGAAAAAGAAAAAGTTCTTGAAGAGGCTTGGTTGATGCGAGGATCACGTTGTTAAAAGTTATATTAGAAATATGAAAGTGTCTTCAGACATATAATTGGGTATTATCAGACTCACAGAATGACTAAGAAGTCTACATATTTCTGAAGATTTTTTTTCAATATTGAAAATATAGAGAAGACAATGTTTTCAGTGTACAAATCATCATTTTATTCTATGTCATGGGCCCTTTAGTTAAAATGTTCCTTATTTTATTTTGTGGTTTTTCATTTGTTTTTAGTTTGTAATGGTATTAATTGCTGTTTTTACTTATTTATTTATTTGTTAAATTTATTTGCCGCCTATTTTGCTGTGGGGCTACTCTAGGCAGCTAGAATATTTTATCTGTAACTGCTGCACTTAATTGTAAATACATGATAAATACATTTCTTGTTTCTACTTTGTTATTGTTTGCTTTAGAATAAAATAATAAATAGTGAAGATGATCATCTAAGGAGGTTGGATGAAGAAAGGCTTCAACTTCATGATCAACTACAAAGTCTGAAAACTGAACATGAATCCATCTACACTATGATAGGAAGTGAAGTTGATGCAGCTTGTCAAGCCTTTTCAAGAGAATCTATGGAGAAAATGACAGTAATTATCTCTCAATTGTTCTTTTAATTTATTTATGCCTGGAAATTTATTATTATTTCTGTATTATTACAAAATAAAAATGAGGGCATAAAATGTGAGATCAGTAAAGTATGACATGGAACAACCATACGACAACTTAAAACTGAAGCAAGGTAAATTCAATAGAGAGGACAACCATTATTGAAGAAGCGTGAAATTTATATTTATAATTGAGTAAGTTACAAAGCCAGAAAAGAAAAAATATCTTCCGCTTGCACTGACAAGGTTAGATTCTCTGGGGACAATATTCTGTAACTGTAGTACCAGCATTATAAATGCCTTCTTTACTTATTATCAGTCTTATGTCTTTGGCAAGGGTCCTGAAAGAAGAACCAATCTACATAGATACTTATGGAATTCCTTTTAAATGTAATTGGTTGCTTCTTATTACTAATGCAGACTTTTCGTCAAACAACAAAGTGAATACTACACTTGATATTATTCCATGGTTCTAAGAAATAGTGTATTATTCCTAGCTGTAATTCACTGTTAATCATATCTGCTTTTGGCATGTTCTAACATCAGGTCTGTGAAGGCCAGACTAGCAGGTAGTCTGATTTTAAGAGAACATCTTAGCTGTTCCGTGATTTTCTCACTCTGCAAATGATATTTTCATCAGTTAGCAATTAAAATTTTAAGAAACAGTTAATAAGATCATTTTTCCAGTCTTCTATTTTTCTGTATTTATCTCCAATAAATAGTCCAAGATAAATTTTAACTTCATACATGCAATTTGCTATTTATATGCTATTTTCTAAGATTGCCAGAACTTGTTTTAATAATTGGGTGACTTTGGAACAAATGACATCCTATTAGTCCTGGTAGGTTATGTGACCTGTCCAGTTGCAAGCAATATCATTTTAGCCTGGGAGAAAAAACATAATTCTTTACTGTGCATGGATCCATTATGGATATGTTTTTTTGGTAATATAATATTAGAATCATATATAATTTGGAATAGAATCTTACATGCTGTGTTTGTAGTTCACATGGTGTGTCTGTAGTCTTCATGTGACAAGTAAACTTAGTAAATTTGTGCCAGAGTTTCTAATCTGGGACACTAAATCATGAAGATTATA